TCCATTGACAACGAAGGAAAATATTTAAAAAAAAAAAAAAAAAGACACATAAACCAATTTGCAAAACCAATTTTTTTAATAAAAAAGAAACCAATAGCAATGTGTGGACTTACTACCAGAAAAGTCCATGAACTGGAAAACAGATTAATGTAAGTACTCAAATTTGACCAACAGAGGAAAAAAACAATTAAAAAAAAAAAAAAAGAACAGTGAGGAATATATATATATATACATATATATATATATGTCAATACAAAATGAACTGACACTCATATTTAGAAACTCTTGAAAGGCAACAGAACATAATTCAGAAAAGATGTATTTGGGGGCTGTGGTTGTGGCTCAGCGGTAGAGTGCTTGCCTAACGTGTGCAAGGCTCAGGATTTGATCCTCAGCACCACATTTAAAAAATAAATAAATAATATAAAGGTATTGTGTCCAACTTAAAAAAAAAAAACACTTTGGAAAAAAAAGAAAAGATGTATTTGAAGAAATAAAGGCAAAAAATTCCCAAATTTTAAAGACATAAGATTTCAGTAAACACCAAATAGGATAAGCACAAAGGAATCTAAGCAGCACATCATAAAGTACACTGCTAAAAACTAAAGATAAGAAAATTGTGATAGCATCCAGAAAAATGACACATTTATGGGAAAACAACAATTCAAATGACTACAGATTTCTCATCAGAAACAATGCAAGTCAGAAAAAGAGGCAGAACATTTTCAAAGTATTGAAAGGAAAAAAAGAGCTCAGAATTCTATATTCAACAAAAATTCTATATTCAGCCTATAGTGCCAGCTACACAGGAGATGCAGGCAGGAGACTGAAAAGTCCAAGACCAGCCTGAACAACTTAGCAAACCCCCATCTCACAATAAAATTTAGGGCTGCACCCACCTGTTTCCCAACTTTTGGCCATCCCACTGAGTATTCCTGGACCTAGTCACATATGCAGGAAGAACAAAGCAAGCCTTAGATATATAAAAAGGCAGAACACTTCCCTTCTTGGGATACCAGGATACCAGCTATGGCCCCCTTCTCCCTCCCAGGAGAAGTCTATGTTACCTCTTTTTAAATAAAACCTGATTTATTTAATAAGGAAAAAAAAAAAAAGAACAGACATGAGAGTATTTTCCCCTCCTAGCTGGCCATGCAAGGACACATCAAGAAGATGGCCATCTGCASAACTTGAGGGGAGCTCTCACCAGATACCACATCTAATGTCTCCCTTATCTTGTACTTACCAGTCTCCTGAGCAGTAAGAAATAAATTTCTATTATTTATAAATGAAAAAAAAAATTGGGGCTGGAAATGTGGCTCAATGGTGAAGTATTTGCCTGGCACACACGAGGCCCTAGGTTCAATCTTCAGTAATTGAAAAAGAAAAAAAATCCCTCAGACAAAAAGGTAAAATAAAAACATTCTCAGATGAAGAAAAAAAATTTGTTGACAGAAAAACTCTCTTTAAAATGATTTTTGAAGCAAGTTCTTCAGACAAAAAAATATTTTAAAAAATTTACAAGATCAAGAATAAAGGAAATATCAGCAGAAGTAAATATGTAGGTGAAAGAACTCTTCTACTGAGTTCTTTAAAATATGTTTGATGTTTGGAAGGAAAAACATTATCTGATGGAATTTTCAATGTACATAACAGTTATATTTAAGACAACTAACATAAAAAAGGGAAGGAGCTAGAGGGTAGAGCTAAGCAGGAAAGCACTTGCCTAGCATGCTCAAG